TACCCTTCCCCTCTTCTTCCCATTCCTCCCCTCTTTCCTACTCTTACATTCCCTCCCATTCTTCCTCTGCCTTTCCCTTTCTCCTATTCCTCTCCTGCATTATATATACACACACATACACAAGTTCTTTTTCCCCAACCAAGTAGGCAGCTTTTTTATATTCCAGTCCACACAAGACCCACTTTTTAATGAAGAATAGATATGCTTCTCATTTCCATGTGCAGAGACTCAAAATATAGAAGGTGCACGAATAATGTGCATGGTGTGAGAAAGAAGCACTTCTCAGGCACTTCTCAGGCCAGAGATGTCAGCTATATCAACAACCACACAACTCCACGATCACGAAGCACGGGGCAAGGGGTGTGTGTCAAAAGTTGGCAAGGTGGAAGAATCAATGACTTCAAACAAACACGGATACAAGAAGGAACTTGGGCTGAGAGAAGGCAAATTACCATAGAATGTGGCTTCATTCTAGACTGCAATAAAAGTTCTTCTCTAATTGTTCTTTGTCATATATGTATCTGAGAGACTTCAGCCAAGTATAGAGCTGCGGTGGCGCAGTGGTTAGAATGCAGTATTGCAAGAAAATCCTGCTGACTGCTGGTTGCCAGCATTTTGGTAGTTTGAGTCTCACCAGCTCAAGGTTGACTCAGCCTTCCATCCTTCTTCTGAGGTCAGTAAAATGAGGACCCAGATTGTTGGGGGGCAATAGGCTGACTCTGTAAATCGCTTAGAGAAGACTGTAAGGCACTGTGAAATGGTATATAAGTCTAAGTGCTATTGCTAGGTAGAAGCTGTCAGTCTCTGTTTTGCTGCTTGCTTTTCGGCTGCCATTGAAACGGGGAGGGAGGGTATGGTATTTGGGTGAGGGAAATAATCTGTACAGGAGGATTGTTAATTGGGAGTTGTTCTCACCATCGTCTGCGCATATGGCAAGGAGGGGAGTTTCCCACCAAGGCCAAGTCCGGCATACCAACCTGATGATGCTTTTTGAAGATGTCTCCCACCTGACAGCTGTGGAGATATTGGATTGGACTATGGACTGGGGTTACCANATGGCCACACCCACCCAGCAACAAGGCAGACAACCGGGTGCTCAAAATTCTTGAAACCCACCCCTGGAAACCATGAACAAGTGTTCTAGACCAGCCTCCCTATATATGGGTAGAGAACACTCAAGAGTGAGCTGCACCCTGCAACTGGAGCTTGAACCAGCCAATGATAGCTGAAACTTGATTCTGCTCATTGTGTATCTTGGCTGTAGGCAATGTTTAATATAAACCATCTAGAAACTGATCTTATATGACAGTTTCTTTAGGCCTCCTTCCCTTTTCAAAACATGTTTCTGAACCATCAGAATAAATATTCTTTTTTTTTGTTGCTTTTTGGGATTATATTCCTCATAACATACAACAGGACTTGACAAGGTTTCTTTAACATCACTCTCCACCAAACAATCTGCTGATTGGACACGCTGCCATACAAATATCCATAATTAAATAAATTCAGATATATATGCAGCTCAGAAATATTTCGTGAAATACTCAGCCAAGGACATTCCTGTAAGTCCACGGAGCTTCGTTTAAAATATTTTTTTTGAACCTCAGGATCTTGGCATGTACGCCAGGCAATAAAGTCTCAAAAAGAAGGTTTTTCAATAATTATTTCAACTCTTATTTTGTTGGATGGATTGTTTTTAAATACAATGTTGAGGAATGAAGGGAAGCACCCAGCCATAGTCATTAAAACCAAATAAATGCTTCCATTGGGACTCTTATGTTTCCTGCCAAACTAATATTGCAACATAGGGTCGGTGTTCAGATTTTCAAACTATTGATAGCAAACACTTACTCTTATTTTCGAACCAGATCTTCTTCCTGATAAAGCTCAGTAGAAATTTGTCTTACCGTTTAATTTCTATAAATTGCTATAAGCTCAAACCCTGTTTAAAATCAATCACTCACTCAATCAATCAATCACTCAATCAATCAATCAGAATAGAGTTGAAGGGGATCTTGGAGGTCTTCTAATCCAGTGTTTCTCAACCTTGGCCACTTGAAGATGTCCGGACTTCAACTCCCAGAATTCCCCAGCCAGCATTCGCTGGCTGGGGAATTCTGNTACCGGTTTGATGGGCGTAGCTAGATGGGGGGCATGTACCGAGTGGACGTGGCCAACTTGACATCACTCATGCACACTCAGTCACATGACCCCCCTCCCTCACCAAGCCTCACGGCCTGTTTTTTGCAAAAACGGGCATTTGCCCCTTCCCCCAACCCTGCTGAAGCCTGCAGAGTACTTCTGGAGGCTGGAGGAAAAATGCCTCCGTTTTTGCAAAAATTGGACCATCTCTGAAACCTCTCTGGGACTGGCATGCATTAAAAAAAAGGGGGGTGTGATTACATTTTTTTCCCAATGAAGATTGTTCTGCGCATGTGCAGAAGAGAAAATAAAGATGATGGCACCCAGGATAGAGGTACAGTCACATGTCTGGCCAAGTTACTACCTATTCGGCCGAACTGGTCCAAACTGGTAGGAACCCACCTCTGATGTTCTCCCATTCAATTCTCCAGACTTCAGCACATTCTTTTGACTTTCACGGGCTGCCCAAAAGGTATGATGGGCTACTTGTCAATTCTGGCCCGGAATGGGAGGTGATATGTGGAAAAGGGATAAAGTAAAATAGAACAATAAGGTTGGAAGAGACCTTGGAGGAACTTCTCGTCCAACCACTTGTCCAAGCAGCAGAACCTACACCATCCCAGCCAAACGGCTGTCCAGTCTCTTCTCGGAGAACCTCCAGTGATAAGAGCACCCACAACTTTCCAACAGTTCAGGTCGCTTTGCCTTACCTTTGACAGGACATTCCAGCAGAATATTGGTCCCCGTTCTGGCTAGGATTGTACCTCCCACAGAGACAGACAGATTCCGAAGCTGAAAACTGACAATATTTTTTTCAGATGACAGTATAGCTGGAGCTTCTGCAAGGGAGAATCAGCGGGGAGAGGAATGAGTCCCAGGATTTCGCCTTCTGAACAACTGAATGCAAAACTGCTGGTGACCTTCTATCGCTGCACCGTAGAGAGTATTTTAACTTACTGCACCCATGTCTGGTTTGCCAATTGCACAGTGGCAGATAGGACAGGCACTCCAGAGGGTCAAAGTCATTGCCCAGAGGATCATGGGTTGCCCTCTCCCCTCTCTGGAAGAGCTTTATAGCTCCCGCTGCCTTAAGAAAGCTCAAAACATTCTTAAAGATCCATCTCACCCTGGGCACCCCCCCTTTTTTTGAACTATTACCATCTGGCAGACGGTACAGGTTAATAAAAACAAGGACAAATAGGCTGAAAAAGAGTTTCTATCCCAGGGCAGTAACTATATTGAATTACACGGTGTATTAATGCAATATCGGGTTTTCAATTCAATTATATAGAATGTGAAGAATGTGTGAGTTTGTGGTTTTATTTTCACAGTTATAATGTACAGTGAAGACGGCATTTAATTCTGTTGTACAATGTGCGATGACAATAAAATAAACCAAACTAAACTAAATTATGGTAACTATCGAACTTCAGAAAGGAATGTTTACAGATTTTTCTTTTGGGGTGGGGGGGAGAATGTTGTGTGCAAATCCTCCCACTTTTCATTTAATGTGAAAATGAGGGTTTAAAAACCTTTCCCAAGAGTTATTTTCCCATTTTCCTTTTACGAATAGTAATAATTCCTCTACAGCTCTGCAAGTTAGTATTTCACAGAAATTGAAAACACCAAACCAATTCGGACACAGGCCAGGAGGGTCTTTGTCTTACTGAGCGATGATTGATGATCGATAGCTAATTTGCAAGTTGCACCACCAAGTAAATTACCTGCGTAAGACAGTGCCATGTCTTGAAAATGTTCATTGTCCACTGTGCAACGATACACCCCCATTTCGTTCTCAGTGGGGTTCAAAATCTGGACTTTGCCATTGGCTTCGAAAGTCACCCTGCAAAACGTTTAAAGGATAAGATTTAATCAACAGGAGGGAATAGATTGTCCTTGACTCACAACCACAATTGAGCCCAAATTTTCTGTGGTTAAGCGAGACATTTGTTAAGTGAAGTTTGGCCCATTTTACGACCGTTCTTGCCACAGTTGTTAAGTGAATCTCTGCATTTGATAAGTGAGCAAACTGGTTGTTAAGTGATTCTGGCTTCCCCATTGACTTTGGTGGTCAGGAGGTGGCAAAAGGAGATTGCATCACCTCGGGACACCACAACGCTCATAAATATGAACCAGTGGCCAAGCATCTAAGCTTTGATCACATGATTGTGGGGATCCTGGAAAGGCCGTAACAGTGAAAAACGGTCAAAAGGGCACTGTTATTTTTTTCTTTGAAGAGGTTTCACCTCTCATCCAAGAAGCTTCTTCAGCTCTGACAGACTAGTGGGGCATGGAAGGATTTATATTCCTGGCAGACAGTTGGTAATTTATGACCCTCTAAACAGCTGTGTCAAACTCAACGCCCGGGGGAACAGATCTGGCCCAAGAGTATTCCACACTTGGAATACGGCATTCAGTTTTGGTCACCACGATGTATAAAAGATGTGGAGACTCTAGAAAGAGTGCAGAGAAGAGCAACAAAGAGGATTAGGGGACTGGAGACTAAAACGTATGAAGAACATTTGCAGGAACTGGGTATGTCTAGTTTAATGAAAAGAAGGACTAGGGGAGACAGGATAGCAGTGTTCCAATATCTCAGGGGATGCCCCAAAGAAGAGGGAGTCAAATTATTCTCCAAAGCACCTGAAGGCAGGGCAAGAAGCAACAGGTGGAAACTAATCAAGGAGAGAAGCAACTTAGAACTGAGGATAAATTTCTTGACAGTTAGAACAATTAATCAGTGGAACAACTTGCCTCCAGAAATTGTGAATGCTCCAACACTGGAAGTTTTTAAGAAGATGTTGGATAACCATTTGTCTGAAATGGTAGGGGATTGGACTAGAAGACCTCCAAGGTCTCTTCCAACTCTGCTATTGTATGGTATTGTATAAGAGGTGCTTAGATCTGGCCCACGGGGCTGTTCTGGAAGCAATGAAGAACCGGCCCGCAGTGCCTCTGCCAATGAAAATGGAGCTCGGGAGGGCTGCATCACAAGCTCTGTTTTCACTGGCAGTGGGTTGCAGGAGGCTGTCGCAGCCAAAATGGATCTCGGGAGTCCATTTTCGCTGGCAGAGCGCTTGGGCTACCACAGGTGCCCCCCCAACACAAGTGATATTGCACTGCCCATGCCCACCCTGGCCACGCCTCAACCCCACCTTGTCAAACACAACCCAGATGTAGCCCTCAATGAAATCGAGTTTGACACCCCTTGCTCTAAAAGGATGCAAATGACTACCTGCCTGCAAGGAATATAAATCCTTCCATTCACCACTATTCTGTCAGAGCTGAAGAAGCTCCTTGGATGAGAAGCGAAACATCTTCAAAAGTAAAAAAAAAAACAAGAAAAAAAAAGTCCAGTTGTCTCCTGAAAAAGCACCTTTGGGTGTCTGAACAACTGTAACGAATACACCCTTCTGTCTCCACATCACTATTGCAGTTGTCCCGGATCATCAGGGGGAAAAAATATACAAGACCAAACACGAACTTTGTTAAGAAGTTTGCTCCTCAAACAAGAGGCATGTTCATTGTGTTCATTTAAGGAAAAGTTTGCCTGAGTATCAGCATGAATCTACATGTCTTGATTGTTGCTTTGATGTTGTGTGTCCTCTGGCCTTACTGCAGCTGTGTTCAGTGTGCCACCTGGCCAGGTTTTCAGAAAACAGTTCTGCACCAGAAGCTCCTGATCTCGCCCAAAACCTAGCTTGCCTTAGCCTTTTCATTTTGGCATCGATTCTTCATCTGCCCTTTTGGTTTTTAATTGTATGATTCAACGTGTACATGCAGAGACATCACCCTGCCAACAGATGTGCATATACTGTAGTCAAGGTGATGATTTTCCCAGTTGCAATGGATGTCTGTGAAAGTTGAACCATGAGAAAGGCTGAGCGCCTTTGAACTCTGGTGCTGGGGAAGACTCCTGTGAGTCCCTTGGACTGCAAGGCCATCTAACTGGTCAGTCCTAGAAGCGATCAACCCTGACTGCTCTTTAGAAAGCCAGATCCTGAAGATGAAATCCAAATACTTGGGCTACCTGATGAGAAGGAAGGACTCAATGGGGAAGAGCCTCATGCTGGGAAAGATTGAGGGCAAAAGAAGAAGGGGACGGCAGAGAAGGAGGTGGCTGGATGGAATCACCGAAGCATTAGGCATGAGCTTAAATGGACTCCAGAGGATGGTAGAGGACAGGAAGGCCTGGAGGAACGTTGTCCATGAGATCGTGATGGGTCAGACACAACTTAGCAACTAAGTCCAAAGGACATCTTTAAGATTGCTCAGCAGTCCCATAACTTTGCTCTTTTATTCATATAGCAATAGCAGTAGACTTATATACCGCTTCATAGGCCT